TTGCAACAATGAATTGAATATTAAGGGGTTTTTGTGTAGGCCAAATGGGAGCAAAATCTACACCAACAAAACTTGCCGATGGATAATCTGTTGCCTAAAAGAAAATAAAGTATGAACATAAAATGAAAAAAACCTCTACCATATGAAGACCATATGAAGACCACATGAAAACATAAAAAAGAAAATGAGACAAACCACATCACATAGCCATGTGCCTGTTCCGCAACTTTGATGTTGCAAAAAAATCATCATTAGATAAAACGTTAGATAGAAGAATTAAAAATTTAGCTAACATGATGACGGTAAGAAAAATATTATATGCATACCCAAAGTCAAGTACTTTAAAGTTCCCTGCCTTTAATTTATCTTTGATGGGCGACAAGAAGTTCCCATTACATATGGTTCTTAGAATATGATGTTGTGTTTGCATGCGATCGATTTGCGTATCATTTATTGGAATCATATAAGGATTATCAAAATCGTATTCTTTCCTTAAGCTACCAGAGCCATAATTGTTTGCTACTGAGATAGAATTTCTCTTTCGCTTCGGTTTAGAGTGACGAGGTCCCATTTTTTAAAAAAATTCTATGAAAGTTAGGGAAGATTATATAAAAAAAAATAAAAATATAAAATGAATGTGATTAAGTTTTTTTTTTTTGTTTTTTTTTTTTTTTATTTTTTTAAAAAAAGATTTGTATATGACAAAAATGGGAAAGTCGAAGTAGATTATTTTTTTTTATTTTTTATTTTTTATTTTTTTGCGGTTGAATCAAATTATACGAATTATTTATATGCAAAATTTATAAAGTTTGTACGTAAGTACCACATTTCTTTGTTTTTTAACCGTAAAGATAATGAACAAGTACATGCGAGTCCCTTATTGAATGAATCTTGCATGAAACCTGCAGGGATAATGCGTTATTTAAAGTGTATAAATACATTAATATTAATAACATCAATTTTGAATACATATTGTTCATCGTGATTTCCGAAAAATGGGCTAATCGGAACATCTTTTTCGTTTACTAATTTGTGCATATGAAAAAGTTAACAAAAATGTTGCATATACGGATACATCGTTAAGAATGCGTAATTACATCAAATTTATTATATTTCAGTTTCATCTAAAAAGAAAAAAAAAACCTACCTACAGCAGTAACAGCAGTAACAGCAGTAACAGTAATAACAGCAGTAACAGTAATAACAGTAGTAACAGTAGTATTCGTTAATTATACAGTATGTAGTTTATTTCTAAAAAATTTAATCCGAAAAATTCATTGTTGTCAAATGCACTTATGCAATATTTTTATTATTGTGATGTAAACAAAGACCAGGTCATAAAATTCATAAATAACCATAAATAACCCATAAATAATTATTAAAAAAAAACCATAAATAACGATTTGATCATTCAATAATATTGAAGTTTATCGTTATACTTTTGTTAAAGTTAATTTAAATAATTAAGAACGTGTTTATTACAAATAAAATATATACAATCGTTCGATTTTTCTTAAAAGTTGTTTGTGACAAATATTAGACTTTGAATTAAGATTGTTCATTGGTTTAATGCCAATCCAGTAATCCAGTAATTGGTAATCTCAACTTCGTAAGTAAAGAAATTACACACGTGGAACATCCTTCATAAAGGCAATTTATCATGATTGTCTATATCCCTTATTTTCTGTACAATATTTGATCATAATTTTTTAGTTTACGTGTAAAAAAAATAACACATGATATCAAATTTTCTTTGATCATTATCGTACTACTACACTATACTACACTACACTACTGTACGATATCGATATTAAAAAAATATATTTTAGAACAATGATTAATCAATATTGTGTTGATATTGGATGGTATCAGATACGTAGTAATATATCAAAATCCTTTATACATGCTATGAACAATAAGGATTGTGTGCATAATGATGATTTCATAAATTGCCTATGTTGGACGACAAAAGAAATATTAATATGCAATATTTGGTCTCACATTACACTTTTTGAAATGTAAAATTGCTTATGATTGGTTTAAACATAAATGTTGAAGTGGGGTATTCATGTATGCATTATCGAAATAGATTGTTGTTATTTTCTTTGTTTAATAATGTTAAAAAAAGTATTTTAAGATGTATGACCAAAATATTGTAATATATTATATACATTATTCTGAACCTAAATTCTTTATTTATCCTTAAGAAATCTCTTTTTATTGATGGCTTCTAATATCCGAGAATATACTAATCATCTGTTTCACAATAGTGTCTCCGTTAGCTGATTATATTGCTTTTTTCTTGCGAATAGGGATCGAATAGGGATCTGATATTTTTAACTGCTTGAGAGCCTGCCCAAATCTAATGACCTTATGATGATTTGTTGTTGTTTTTTGTATTGCGTACGTATCAGGTATGTACGTTCGTGCGTGCGTACGTACTTGTCAACGTACGTACGTACGTAGGGTACGTACTTGTCATTAGGATTCTGCAAGTATTACTGTATTACATCTGTGCGGGTATATATATAAATTATCTAAGGTGTGATTTTTGAATCACGTTTACTTTATAAGGAATGAATTAATTACGTAATTACAATAAGGTGCATAGTTTAATTAGTATTATTTAGATCTTAAATATATCTATATTTGTATTTACTGTTTAACCCAATTTTTATTTTGCCAAAATTTAAATAATAATAATAATAATATAATAATTTTAACCAATTTTTTAATTTAGAATATTTTTAATTAATACTGAAGAATATTCATATTCGGGATACTATATCTCAAAAACTAATTAAGAACTAAAAATTATATATACTAAACATAAATATTAAAATATCTTAAACTCTTGTAATTTAAAAGTTAATGTATTATATATAACTCTTTTATTGGTTTCAAAACCACACTCTAACTTTAAAATTTTCATTTTCTATTATAAAATTAATAAATATAGTACTTTAATTTATTT